GCATAACACAATGGTTTTCAGCCTGTGCCCTGCCCTGGGTGACTCCATTTGACAAGTAGCACTCAGTGTCATTGTGAGTACCAATGCAGACAGGATGTGCACATAGACACCCCTGTCCAGCACCACCCAGAGACACAGACTGGCAAATAACCGATTCCTATAAGTAAACAGTACTACCTATACATTTATTAAAGTAGATTGGTGTTCTAGTTTGTTTTTGTTGCTATGATCAAAACACTGACCAAAACTAACTTGGGGAGGGAAGTGTTTATTTTAGCTCACATGTCACAGTCTATCATGGAAAGAAGTCAAGGCAGGAACCTGGAGGCAGAGACCCCGGAGGATGCTGCTCACTGGCGTGCTCCCCTGGCATGCTCAGTTTCCTTCCTTTTTTATTTTAAAAATTTTTTATCTATTTTTCTTTTATATGTATGAGTAGTATGTCTGCATGTGTTTAAGTGCACCCATGCTGTTCAGTGCCCATGGAGGACAGAAGAGGGCATTGTATCTCCTGGAACTGGAGTTACAGACGGTTGTTGGCTGCCATGTGGGTGCTGGGATATGAACTCAGGTCTTCTGCAAGAACAGGTCATGCTCTTAACTGCTGAGCCATCTCTCCAGCTACCTTTCTTATACAGCCCAGGCCCACCTGCAGAGGGATGTCATCCACAGTGGGTTGGGCCCTTCTACATCAAAGATGCCTCACAGACATGCCCACAGGACAATCCAATGGAGGAAATTTCTCAACCGAGATTCTCTCTTCCTAGGTATCTGTAGTTTCTGTCAGGTTGACAGAAAACAAAAAACAAAAAACAAAAGAACCCCAACAAAAAACAAAAACAAAACGAAACAAAACAAAAAAAACCCTAACAGGCACAACTGGGAACATATGACTGTATTAAAATTATATCAGGAAAACCAGGCCCAGAGCTTATCAAACACACCAGACTAAAAAAGAGTACAACACCCTCACATGGACCCCAAATGCTGTGATGACGATGGCCCTCACTTGATATCTGACCACCTGAAGTGTGCATCAAGGGGTCAAGGGACCAACAGGCAGAGGACTCTCAACTGTCCCTGGTGCTTCGGCACAGTGGGTCCCATTGCTGATGTGCCCTACCTGAACCACCATCTGTCAGGTGTTGGACCTCGCCCCACAGCTGTCTCTATGGCCTCCATGGCCCTGCATCTTGCTTCTTTGGCTTGACGCTGAGATAAGGCTTGGCATTCAAGGCTCTAGCAGCAGCTCTCTAACCAGGTTCATTGATGCCATGTTTGCTTACTGCAGTAGTGACTCTCTTTGTACCTGGATCAGCTGTCTGCTGCCTCCAGTGAGGCTTCCCTGAACTCCCTGAACTCTACTATGGCTTCATTAACCTTTTCGTAGCTATTCTGTAACACACACACGCACACACACACACACACACACACACACACGCGCACACACACACTCTTCTTATGCAATATGTGATGCATGATCTGAGAGATAATGTTAATAGTTAAGTTTGTAATAAAAGGACCAGTAGCCAATGACCACCTATCAAGGGAATGGGAATTACTTGGCAAACCGCAGCCAACGAAGTTGACACAGCCTGTGAATTTATTGTTATTTAACAAATTCTGACACTGTGAATAACACATTCACTAGGTCCCAGCTCGGCCTTCTTCACTTGCTTCATTTGATTATCTGTGGTTAGTTTTCAGTTGATCAGAGCTTGATTCTTTTTGTTTTTGGATATGTTTGAGCCCCTGGGGAGAAATACTTCATATTCTCAAAGACCTCAACAATGAGGGATTCTGTTCTGGAAATGTGTGGCTTCACTCAGAGACAAAGTGACCGTGGCATCTGGGGCAAAGAGGAACACTTAGTTTCCCTACGGTCTCAAGACGGTTTGTTTGCCTTCATAATTTCATGATGCGACTGTGACATAGTCAACCCCTTCTTAAAGAAGGCTGATTGATTGGCTTCCCTAACAGACAAAGTGTGCATAGCATTTTCAAAGCAACAGGCCTCTTCACATTTTTAGGGAAGGTACCCTACTTGATACACATGGTCAGGTGGAGACAGATGCCCACAAGAATCTTTAGAAGGTTCAAGGGCAAAAAAGATTAACGTCTGAGAAAAACAAAACAAATGCTCATTTCAATTGTAGGCTTAAGGCTTCGTGGAATGAAACAAACCTGATCATATAAAGGTAAGTGACATGCCAGCATTTACAACTATTAGTGAGCAACTTTGTGGGACACCTGGAGAAGTCATAGTCTGCAAGACCCCTTCTTTCAAACAAAGCTATACTCTTATTCTCTTTAAAAGTTTAAAAAAATTATTTAAATTTTATTTTATGTGTATGAGTGTCTGCCTGCATGTAAGTGCACTGTTGTCGTGCAATGCCCAGGGATGTCAGATGAGGGCATCAGATCCCCTGGTACTAGAGTTATAGGCGGTTGTTAGCCACTACGTGGGTGCTGGTAACTGAACCAGAGTTCTCTGCAAGAGCAGCCAGTGCTCTTAACTGCTGTGCCATCTCTGCAGCTCTGTTCTTATTCTAAACAGAGAATTCTCCCTGTCCCCACACAGAGGCAGAGCCGAGGGGAGGGAGGGCACCAAGCATGGCTTGCATGCCCTCTCCAAGTCTCTAATCTGCCGTTCTCTTCCTTCAACTGCAAGCCTTTCTTGAAAAAGTGTTTAGGGTGCTCAGATTTAGTTTTTTTTTTTTTTTTTTTTTTTTTTTTTTTCTGAAGAGAGTATTATCAAGGATCAGACATAAATTTATTGCCTTTTGTATTTTTGGGTCCTGTGCCTCTTAAAAGCTGGGTGAGTTGCAATTTCTCAACAAATTTCCCAGTAAGTTCTTGAATTTCCCATCTAAATGCATGTTTCTAACATCTGAACACAGTTCAACAAATATTTATGGGGTGCTTGACATTTGTTGTGGGTAAGCAAAGACATTTTCCTCCAATATCACAATATGTTCTTTTTAGTCTCTCATGACCATCTCTTCCTGCTAGAATGCTCATTAAAGGTGAGTGAGAAAGTAACACTATCGAGTGCATGGAAACATCTGTTACTTCATTCATGAAAAGAAAAGAAACACTTCCAGGGCACACACCATATGCCTTGCACCAAGGGTTTGGGGTTAGGGAAAACAAGACTCTTGCTTTACCGAGTTAACAGCTGACTGAGTTCAAAGGGTCCATAAAGACCCTTGTCTGGGTTTCGGGCTGAAGACTGTTGATCTGACAATAGTTGACAAAGCAGAAAGCACACAGCTAGAGTGACCCTGGTTTTAAAATCTGGCCAGAGAATCAAATTTCTTAATAATGTGTACAGCAGTGTGTTGCTGACCACAATTAACACGCAGGAGGTGATGAGATGCCCACTGACACCCCTCGCCATTCAAATCCCAGCCCTGCCCCACACGGGTGTATATGTGACTCTGGAGGAGTGAGTGATTCTGGCAGCTTCTTTCTTCATCTATGAAAAGGTGCAAACTACACCAGGTGCTGGTACTAAGTGATTCTAGATGGCTGAAATCATTAAGAGAATCCATTCTTAGGTTGGTAGCTGACACATTCTAAATCTCAGACAGTGCTGTCTGTTGCTGTCCTAGGGAGGGGCAAAGTGTTATCATGTTCTACAGAACAGGATACATTCCTTTGAGCCCCAAATGTCCTACATCTCCTTCTGACATCTTGCTTTCAATAGTTCCACTGTTTAAAACGCCTGCTTCTACTTGTGTGATAAATATCATGATAGCAAACCACAAAAAATAAGAGCCTCAAGGCTAACAAACAGACCGCCTCAACCCACGCTGGGCTCCCCTTTGCCATAGTCTGGTCTGTGTCTTACTATGCAGTTGCTTACCTGAACAAAGTGTTCTGCAAGGGAATCTAGGATTTGTAAATAAGCCATTGCCTTGACGGCTTTGTCCCCAAAAGAAGTACTCTGAAAACTGGCTAGGTTTCTGTGTTTACTTTGAAAGTCAGTATTATAAAACGTTTTCCTTAATTCAAAAATATACTAATTTTTACTAAAAGAAATCCTGCTACTATTTCCTGATTGGAAGGGGAGACGAGATCACGAGCAAAGGGACAGATTTGATGGGAGAAACAACAGCCATGACTTTAACACTAGGTCACCAGGACACGTTTCCATGGATTACGCGCGCGCGCGCACACACACACACACACACACACACACACACACCAACAACTCATAACAAAAGCCAGTTGTTCCTTGGTCACTAAAAAGCCATTTCCTTCTGGCATAGAACCATAACCTACTTAGCCATCTTGTTGGGAGAGTCAGAGTCATTATTTAGGAGCATGCAGATTGGCTTCACAGTCTGCACAGCTGAATGGCACAGATGAACACAAGTCGCTGAGCAAACAGAGGGCGATCCATTAGGTCTTCTCTTCTTAAAATTCAGGTACATAATCATTAAAGATTCAGGAGCAGCCACATTCTTATCTCACTTAAGATAATATCAGTATTTACTTAAAATATGCTATTTTCATTTTTTCCTTATTCTAACTAGTGAACAACAGAGGGATTTAGTTAGATTGTATGTCAGCTATCTCCTATGGCATAGAACATACCAGTAATTACCCTTCGGCAGAGCCAAGCAACTTGTGAGGAAGGTCCCAGTGCATTAGAGGCATGAGGTTTGAGGTTCCCATTCAGTTCATGAGGTCTGAGGTTTGGAAACGTTTGCCTTGGAGGACTGTTGAGAAATTTAAAACTATTTTCATCTTGTGCCTTCCACCCACAGCACACTTTACAGCCAGGCCTAAACATAAACAACCAATTTAGAATGTGTAATTATATTTGTGCATAGCCAGTGGTTAGTCTATCATACAGCACAAACAAAAGTGCTAAGAATCTTCTGTTCTGGAAGTTTCAACCACTCTGCATGATCCAAGGAGTCTAGAATTTCTCATTTTTATTCAAGGGCTGTGGTAGAAGGAGGGGAATGCAGCTGTTTGGAATTCTAAGAGGAAAGCAGAGCCACTCCATGGAGTTCGTCAGGGCTAAGGTCACTGGTCTTCAGTATCCCCCGGCCCGCCATTTCTGAGCACTTCAGAGACTGAAGCGGTTGAGCATGCGAGTCTAGACCTGACCAGTGTATGACTGGAAAACATCTTGAGAGCCTAAAAGGAGAGGTAGGTAGACACTCTAACAGCAAAGTGATAAAGGGCAGGATGACAGGCAGCTTGGCAGGTTTGGGGCAGGAAGGCTTTATTATTTTTAACTCCAATAGGGCCCCTTCAACTGACCTGCTGGGGTGGGTTTAGAGTCCTGTAGCCCTGGACATAGCTCAGCTTAGAACTAGGGCTTATAAGCACCTACTTCTTTGTTTAAGTTGATCAGTCCAAAATTAGGGGAGGGGGCCTCCCCCCCACACCAAGAATGCTTAAAAGGCCCACATCCTGGGGACTTTGGATTTTTCAGTTTCTGAGTCCTCTCTCCACTGGCGGAGAGTCTTTCTCTTTGTGTGTGTGAATGTACTTCTTTATTTATTTATCTTGGTTTTTGAGACAGGGTCTCCCTGTTGTCCTAACTGGCCTGGAAGTTGCTATGTAGACCAGGCTGGCATGGATCTCAGAGATCCACTGGCCTCTGCCTCCCGAGTGCTGGCATTAAAGGAGTGCACCACCACACCTAACCGTTCCTTTACTTTATTAATAAAGTTTGTTTTGTTACTTTCAGCTAATGTCTGAGATTTTTTTACTGGCTTTTAATTCTTTAATTTGCAGAAAAAACGAAGCTGATCAAGACCCCTGGAGGGCAATAATCTCCATCTCAGTTTCTGCAGGAATGAGATGGGAACAGTAGTATTCATGATGGAAGAAAAAGGAATTTTTCATGTCTGCACACAGAAGCTGTTTCACAGGGACTCATTATCGTCATTGGGCTCTTCAGTGTCTGTTCCTGAGTATCCATGCCCCGTTTAGCAACTCCATAGCCATTTCTAGAATCACTGCAGACAGGCACTGTCACACCAACAGCCTGAGGACTTTTTTGTAGGAAGAAAGGACTGAGAAAGAGAAAGGTACAGGGCTGGAAATGGCTCCGTTGGTAAAGGGCTTTTCATGCAGGTATAGGACCTGGGTTCAGTCCCTAGCACCCATGTGAAAAAGTGTGCCTGCAATCCACTGCTGGGGAGGTGGCGATGGAGGATTTCTGGAGCTTGCTGGCAGCTAGTCTAGACTAATTAGTGAATTCCAGGCTCAGTGAGAGACTGTCTCAAAAATAACATGGAGAGTCATGTAGGAAGGCATCTGATGTCAACCTCTGGCTTCCACATGTACGTGCATGCATATGCCTGTGCACCCCCCGCCCCCACATCATGCACAGAAACCTGTAGACACAGATATACACAACACATGCACACATCATGCACACACGCAAAAGAAACAGAAAGATACATAGATACATACACACCAGGTTAGCACACTGTCCCTCAGTGGTTTCGAGTGTGGATAGCTAAGTGCTCACTCCTGCATCCTTCCCTGAAGGATTGCTTCTGCCTGTGGGTTTCTCTGGGAGAGGAGCATCACTCAGCTCCTGGGGAACTTTCTTGTTTTTTTCCTTCTTGGGGGCACTGAACTGGGCATTGAACTTGGGGTCCCAAGTAAGCACTCTACCTGTGAGCTACGTCCCTGGTCCTGTTTACTTTTTATTTTGACACTATTAGTATCTCATACTGAAGTGGCTGTTTATAAAGTTATGGGTAACCTACTATAACTCAGGCAGATCGATGGACAAGAACAGAAAGAATTTCTTAATCTTCTGCCAGTATTTTATTGGATGTCTACCCTTTGTGACTGTGACCTTGCACCAATCTCAGAAGCTGAGAGCTAAACAGGCCTCAAGTGCCCAGGTAAGACCCTCTTCCTTCTTTCTCTTGAATTTGGGCCAGATCCCTGCCATGAAATGACATTTATTTATTTATTTATTTATTTATTTATTTATTTACAGGGTCTCATCACGTAGCTCCGACTAGCCTGGAATTCTCTGTGTAGACCAGGCTGGTCTTGAAATTACAGAGGCCCCCTGCCTCTGGTTCCCAAGTGTTGGGATTAAGGGCATGCACCACCATGCCTGGGCTAATCATAGTCTTTGTAAACGAAAGATTTTAGAGAAACTAAGACGCTGAAATAATGAGAATTGGCTAAAATAATAATTTGTGAATTTTTTTACTTCCCCGATTCCCATTAATTCTTTATTAATCATACTGCCAATTTCTAAGAGCAGCTGGAGTTGCGTCTATCCCTGACCGCCTCTTCTCTTCAGTCCCTCCTCATTACACTTATCATTTTTTGTGCCCTTAGGTAATCCAGCATTTCTGCTCCTTCTACCAGACCCAGGACCTCTTCTCCCATTAGCCAGGGGTCCCTCCATTTTCTTTCTTTTCTATCTATATTTTTTTATTTATTTTATGTGTATCAGTGTTTCTTCTGCATGTATGTAAGTGTACCACATGCATGCAATGCCTATGGAGGTCAGAGAAGATGTCAGATCTCCTGGAACTGGAGTTACAGATGGTTGTTAGCTGCCGTGTGGGTGCTGGGAACTAACCTGGGTCCTCTGGAAGAGCAGCCAGTGCTTTCAACTGCTGAGCCATCTCTCCAGCCCCCATCTACTTTCATCCCTTGCATCTGGGACACAAATTTGCAGGCACCTTCCCTATCTGTTTGAAGGGACTGTAACTGTTCTCTGTCTCCATCATTTTCTTCTTGAAGGCAGATGTGGTATTGGCTTTTACCAACACTGTATCATGTAAAAGGAATTCTACAGTCAGAAATCCATCTGAGCATATCAAGTTCAATACAGCACAGGGACCAAACACAGACCCTTTAAATTCAGGCTTTCATGGAACCAAAGAAATCAGGTAGTCTACTTAGTGCTATACTCTTTACAGAGCCTTAAAGGTGCTACTTATTATCAATAATCCTTCTGTTATCCAGGCAGGATTGTCCTAGTACTGCAGGCTAGCCTTCCATCCAGCCCCCTCATTCTTCCCTTGACTCTCCTGCACAGTCCCCAATATTCTGGGTTTGATACCTTTATTTGTGGTCAGTGACTTAGCTGTCCACTGAAACAGCAACCATTCCAGTCACCAGCCCAATAGATATAAATACTTCAAGTTTTCTGGATGTAGAAAGTCATGGCTACAGGGTTGAGGAGTTGGTAAAGTGCCTGCTATGCAAGCAGGAGGAGTTGGGTTAGAGCCCGAGACCCATGTTTAAGTATAAGCTGGGTGTAGTAGAGCACATTTATATTCCTAGGACTGGGGAGGAAGAAGCAAAGAGCTCCGGGGGCTCACTGGGCAGCCAGGCTAACCTACTTAGTGAGTTTCAGATCAGCAAGAGAACCCGTCTCAAACAATAAGGTAGACAGTGACAGATGAGTGATACTTGAGGTTGCCTTCCGTCTGGTCTCCACATTCACACAAAGTTCAAGGTTATAACCAAACTTCCTTTTTTAAAGACATCTCAATTTTCCCACATTTTGTTTTTAGTAGTTCACAACAGTCTCTTAAATGCCAGGCTTTATGTAGCTGACAAGATTTTGAAAGTACTCCTCCCACATTTCATTCTAAATTCTCATTGTTTCTACACATGAGGAATACTTAACGTAGGGAGGGTGGGGGGAAAAAGGCAAGGTTCAAGATTTCTTATATGGCTTTGGGCTACCCAGAGGTTATAGGCTTGACAGTAAGGTTCCACCTGGATGTAGAGAACAGCTTATAACAGACCACATGTGTGAGTTGATCATGATTCAGAAGGTAACACACAGACTAATGTACTCTCTGATGTAGCACTTAACCCCCAGCATCTACAGGTCAGAGCTGGTGTGGCTGCTGCTTCACTTTTACTTCCCTTTAATGGTAAGCATCTCCTAATTCACTAACTGTTCGATTTGTACCACAAAATACATGTCACTATGGAGACCAGAGGGGCCGGTTTGAACACGCAGTCAACGTCCAACCCTTTGTGGTGTTCTGTGTGTGTTCATGTGTGCACATGCATGTGTGTATGTGGAGGCCAGAGGTCAACACTGAGTGTCATCCTCAATTGCTCTCCACTTTATCTTTCAAGACCCAGTCTCTCAGAGTTGTTCACAGACTGATTAGACTGGTTGGTTGGCTAATGAGTTTTGTGGATCCACCTGTGTCTGTCCTCCCCAGCTCCTCCTCAGCACTAGAGTTACAGGTGTGTGGGATCACACCTGGCTTTGATATGGGTGTTTGGGATCTGAACTCAGGTCCTCATGTTTGTGGTAGGCACGTTATGGACTGAGCCACCCCCCTTGACCCACTATAGTATTCTATTTCAAACTTGCAGAAGGTAAACAATGCCATAGACTAGAATAAGAGGGATTCAAGTCTTGAGTCTGTTCAGGCCACATCTTTATGTGCATGGCCATAGACCTTTTAAACAATGTGGCTGTGAATGTGCTTAATGCTACTGCGAATCAAGAAGCAGTGATGCTTGCTCGCTCTTCCGCAAATGGTGAAGTAACAAGAAATGAACGGCCAAAAAATCAGTGCTAGGACGGTGTATCTAGGTGGTGGTTTTATGGGACAAATTTTAACTTAAGAAAATAATGGCTTTCTTACCATAAGCTGCCTTTACTAAAGAAGAAGTTACTTTTAAACAAAAGATAAATGAGGGAGCATTATTTCTTTTCAAATAACCTTGCTGTCATCTAAAGTGCTACCAGGTAGATGTAAGTCCTGCTGATTCTCAGCAGAAAGGAACTCTGAACAAGATCGATTCGACTTTTCACTCCATCCTGCTAGTAACCTGAAGTATGTTTATGATGCATCTAATTATCTTCTTCACCTAAAAATGGGGCCTTTCAGGGTCTAGTCAGCAGTGTCCAACTTGGATGTCTCTTTGGGGCTTAGGAAAGTGGTGATAAGCACCAGAAGTTACTTTTTCAAGTTTTTCATACTTCAGAATGCATAATAGAGAAATTGTACCCTTCAGGCCTATGAGATAGCTTAGTCTGTAAAAGCACTTGCCACACAAATTTGACAACTTGTTTAATTCCCAGAACCCATGTAAAACAGCCAGGTGTGGCAGCAAGCATCCAAAATTCCAGCAGCGACACAGTGGGATGGAATGCGGGGACAGAAGTACCCAGAAGCCAGCTTGGTGTACAGTGTGGTGGAAACAAGAGAGACCTTGTCAACAAAATGGAAGGAGTGCTTGAAAGTTGACTTCTGACCTCCATACGAGCCATGATGTATGTATGCATGTACACATGCATGCAGGCATGCACACATACACAGTTATAGCTAAATAATCACAATAAATTAAAAACAGTAAGAAAGTATACGTCTTCCCATGAACACATTTCAAATACCAAGAAGGACTTGAATTTCTTTGTACGGCTTTGTTAAGTTGGCAAAGTTAATGTGTACTGATTAGTTATAATGACAGTTAAGAATTTTCCAGTGACAATATTTTAGAGATGAAAAGACTATGGATTCCCAAGTTGTTGGGTTTTTTAATTTTTAAATAAAGTTTTAAAACTATTTTATTATTTTTATTTTATGTGTATGAGTGTATTGTCTGCATGTGTGTAAGTGCACCTGTGTTGTGCAGTGCCTTTGGAGGTCAGAAGGGGTGCTGGATTACTCTGGAACTGGAGTTATGGATGGTTATTAGCTGCCATGTGGGTGCCGGGAATCGAATCCAGATCCTCTGCAAAAGCCACAAGTGTTCTTAACTTCTGAGCCATCTCTCCAGCCATTTTTTCAATTTTTAAAATTAATTTACTTGTGTGTGTGAGGAAGGACGCACATGGAGGTCAGAGGACAACAGGAGGGGGACAGCTCTCTCCTTCCACCATGGGAGTCCCAGGGATCAAACTCGGGTCGTGAGGCTTGGCAGCAAGCACCCTTAGCCATTGAACCATCTCATTTGCCCTCCTAGGTTATTTTTTTTAAAATCACATTTATTTATTTATTATGGGTCGGTAGGAAGGTACATGTGGAGATCAGAGGACAATCTGAGGGCATCCATTCTTCCACCGGGCGGGACCTGGAGATCAAACTCAGGTTGTCAGGCTTGGCAGCAGGCACCTTTATCCTTGGAGCCATTAAAATTGAGGCCGTTAGGCCGGATGGTAAGGGCCTTTACCTGCGCCATCTCACTGGTCCCAAGAGTTGGTCCCCCCCCCCCCCCCCCCCGG